GGAAGAAGGGTGGCCCATGAAGGGTGGCCCACTGTAGGGAAGAAGGGTGGCCCATGCCTGCCGTCACAGTTAATATTGTAATCTTACTGGTGGGAACTGAGGCTGAAAGACGTGCATGATGTGCATGTTCATTTGGAAGCAGAATCTGAACCCAGACTTCCCAAATTCAAGTAAAACGTCCTGTTCACTAGACTATGCTCGTTCAAACTTCCATTAACCAGATTTAGGTCAAACAGAAGCAATGATATGGCCTAAGGACGTTAGCCACTGATTCCATATAGAAGACCACACCACAAGAATTGCTACTCCTCGATTTTTGTCTCTCCACAATATTTTGCCTTACTCAACAATGAGGGACAAATGAAACTGCATTTCCCATTCTTCTTCATAAGGATGTTTTTCCAAATGCAACTTCTGCCACTGCATCATCAATGACCAGTGCACAGGGGAGGACAAAAACATCTGCTTCAATGTTTTAACTTATTCTTTAGAAAGGCCACCTACTCATCCCTGTTGCAAACTCCTTGAAGTTGATGAGTGCATCTCTGTTCTCATCCAGGAGCCGGAACATTCTTTCTGCTAGCACTGGAGTGTGGAGGCCACAAGACCAAGGTGTAAGGGCAGCAAATAACTCTTTGAACTGCTCTATGTTGATGCGGTATTGTTCTAAGTATGGCAGGCTCTGGTCCCGTTGGGAAGCAGCAGTGTGATTTCCCCAATAACAGCTCACAAGGTGTTTTGCCTGTGAAGAAAAGGGGTGACTAGGTCAGGCACTAACAGCATATTCCAGCCTTCAACCTTGGATGTATCCGGAGCTCTGAGGAGGGGGAAAAAAAAGTACCAGCAGCTCAGAGCAGAAGGCTGCTTTGAGTTTTATGGTGCTTGTCTTTTTTTGCATTTTTCAAGTTTGGGCAGAACTGGAGCTCTGCAACATGAAGAAGAGACCAGATAAAATGGTGGAGAAAAATCAATTGTTATAACAAGAACCACCACCAGCCTAGGGAGCAAGCAGAAATACTTCAAGGCAAAACTTGTGAGTAAATGTCATTTTACTCCTTGAAATCTCCAGTGAAGATGGCATTGTAACTGTAGCACAGGAGGCCACTGGCAAACAGACAGCTGAAATGAACTAATACTAATGCGATAACCAGTATTCAGTATTCCAAGTATAAAGATTACATTCCATTCACCAGATGACTTCTGTGAGGCCCTGGCTGACAGCTCCCAAACTCCACAGTTAAGAAATGCAAACATAAAGCTAGTTGTCCAGACAAGACTATCTATGGTAATGCTCTAAGTTGCTAAGTAAAACTCCATTCCTAACCATCAGTCTGCAGAAAAGGCTATAATTTTAAAACATCTTTGGCTAATGACTCTTGCCCAACTGTATGCATGCACATAAAGCAGAAACCACCCCAATCAGCTGGTTGGTGGGGAGACAGGTCACATTTTCCCATCCCGCCCTCCAAGTCTGTGCTCTTTTTCTACCCCTCTGCAAATAGCTGATAGGTGCAAGTCGTGCCTTCTGAAGAAGGTACCACTTATGCAGCCCCCACTGTCAGATCACCAGCATATGCAGTTCTTCACAGAAGCAGAGAAAAATATCAGAAAACTGTCCTCCACACACCTACAGCCCCTAGTGAGATCAAAGTGACTGGCTATTCTTTAATGCATTTATTTTATTCTACAAAATTTATACCCCACTTTTCTGCCCTCATAAGAGCCACCAAAGTGGCTAACAAGTTAAAATGTACATAATGAAATAATCTCTTAAAACCATTAAGACGAACAAAAGCATAATTAAATAATTAAAACCAGAGCCAAAATACATACAAAAACAGTAAAAAACCCCAATTAAAATATTGGACAGGAAGGAGAGCCAGTTTGGTGTAGTGGTTAAGTGTGTGGACTCTAACCTGGGAGAACCAGGTTTGATTCCCCACTCCTCCACTTGCACCTGCTGATGTGACCTTGGGTCAGTCACAAGCTCTGGCACAGCTGTCCTTGAAAGGAATCATACCTTAAAACCATTAAGACAAACAAAAGCGTAATTAAACAATTAAAACCAGAGCTAAAATACATACAAAAACAGTAAAAAAAACCCAATCAAACTATTGGACAGGAAGGAGAGATCACTTAGAAAATGCCAAACAAAACAAAAGGTCTTCATCCCCTGGAAGGAGGTAGCAACAGAAGGGCACAGACAAGTTTCCCTGGGAGAGAGTTCCAGCGTTTTGGGTCATGATCAAGAAGACCTTTCTCCCTGGTTGCCACCTGCCTACCCTCAGAAGGAGTTGCTCCACTCTATTTCCCAAAATCCTGGATCTAATTTTTGACAATAACACTTGCTTTTAAAGCAAGTAACATTTTGCATGAGCTAATGTATATGAATATTCCACACTTTGCTCATCCATCTTGCATGTCCTTATTTCAAGACAACAGCAGCATACACCTGTGTATTGCTTCCCCTATCCTGGAAACTCAGGCAGGAAACAAAAGCAAAATTGGCAACACAAAGTAAAACTGTACCCTATTCAATGAAATTTCCCCATTCTCCCATACTTTAGATCTGAGGGCCCAAACACCACTGCAAACAGCTAATCAGCACTCAGGCAAGTCTGCTTTGGTAAACAGCTGCACAACTGGGAAGGGGCGGTTAATGACAGCTACAAGGGAGTATTTTACAGGTCTCTTACCTTAAATACTACATAAAGGTCTTCCAATTCCTGCATTGAAAAGCCAATATCACCAGAAACAGCTCGGACCTAGAGAAAGGCAGAAAAATGATTAAAAAAAAAAATTCTATTAGTTGTGAAAGTCACATTCAACAACAACAGGAAACTACCAAGAATGCCAAATGTATTTCAAGGCCTGGGGACTTGACCGGAGAAAGGAAAGAGTGTATAATGATTTTAAGCAGAATATAAAATATTGATCTCTAAGACAGGAAGATGCAGAAGAGAAAAAGCCAACCAAAAAAACAAAAAACAAAACCTGATGACAGCTAGAGAAGAATAGCTCCATTCCCTTGAACTCAGCAGGTAAACACAGCAAAAAGCTAGCCAAACACACTAAATGCATTTCCTGCTCTTTGTGCCTGTAATTGGAAGTGGGAACAGGAAATATGTCAACTCCTTCTTCCTTTCAGCTTTTATCTCTTTAATCCTCTCAGTGTCAAACATCTACAAGGGCACTGGAGACTTCTGCCAGAGACATCTGACGCTATCTGGAGGGAATGAACACTGCCACAAAACAAATAACAGAGAAAAAAGCTGCAGTGAGAAGATGTGAAAGCTACTCTTCCCTGGAGATCACTACGCAGAACAGCCCTGATGATGAGAAAGGTCAGTTTCTCTTGATGCTGTCTCCCCCCCCCCCCCCCCCCCTGGGAAGAAAGAAGTGAAAAGAAGTCATCTAACTAGCAGGGTTTTGTGGAAAGACCTGAGAGGGCTCCCTCTTGGTAAAAATCACAACTGTCAACTCTTCTCATCTGCTTCCCATCCCAACTTGTTAAGGCAGCAGCTCAGATCTGCAGATGTAAGCGGAAATCACCTTTTGTGATTCTTTAATTCATCTCAAACCAGACTGTCCAAAGGACAATTCTCTGTACAAGGGCCCAAAGCAGTAGGTAATATGCCAAGTAGTTTGCTTAGCTGCCATTTTTTCTTTGGAGCTCTAGCTCACTATCCAGAAGACCCAGAGTGGGTAAAGAATTAGAAAAACATGAATGAGGCAGTTAAAATATATCTTTAAAAAACTGGGTTCCACTTACCACACTCCTCTTGGCTGTGTCTTCCAAAGAATGGATTACCTTCAATCTTTGCTTAAAGCGCATCTGCTCAATATCATCTGCCTTCAAATGGCCGAATTTCTACAGCCAGAAAAGTAGTCAGGTTCATCTTTAGAGTCACAGTACTCAATTACATAGTGAATGCATTCAATGACACACTGGAAATTGGCAGATGACTAACTAAAGCAACTGGTGACACTGAGGTGGAAGAAAACTTGTGTATGAAGTAACTGAAGACCAACTACAGACCCCAAGCTCTGTTTGGAAACCATGGACACAAACAATGGGGAGGAGGGACAAAAGAAAGAACTACATTAGTAGCAATTCAATTAGAATCACCTTCAGAACACCAAAAGGGGCAGCACAGAGGAGCTTTGTCTCTGTAGCACTTGCCATAATATACATTTCAAAAAAAGAAGAATCAAAACTAACAAGAAGCATTAAAAGATCCAACATTGATCTTTCTTGACCTCTGGGGCCCAACCAAGATCCCAAAAATCAGACGTGAATTGATTTCCAATCTTTTTGTAGCTGCAAAAACATCTATTGCTTCTACATGGAAATCAAATCTGGCTCCCACACGATCCAGCTGGTTAAATAAAGTCTGGAATCACCTCATTATGGACAAGATTACAGATTGCTTACAACAATCAGATCTTTTCCCAAAAATCTCCAACCTCGAGGAGAAATGGCTTCCGTTCCTAGAATTTACAGCAAACTATGACCTTCGAATGCGTAATCCTGCTTATCTCAAACTGCTTCTTGCCTAAACTACTTTATCCTCCGCCTTGGCTAGTCGTGAACAAGCGTGTGGTTATTCAGGCAAAGATTATTCTGAATACTAATTATACTTCTTATATAACTCATAAGGTAACGATGTTCACAGTACTGGTATCTTTCTCTACTCGGAGCATCTATAGATTGTTAAAACTAGGTTTGTGTATGTTATGTTTTGTCTTCTGTTATGAACTGGTCTGAATTTATGAAAAATGCTTTTCCAAGAATACTATGCTCTGTTATGCTTTGGAAAAATTAATACAAATTAAATTGCAAGAAGAAGAAGAAGAAGCATTAAAAGAAAATGAAAGGAAACACAAGTGTGATAGCAGCAGCAATCCCACAGTTAATAAACCAAGGTAATGAACCAATCCTAAACTTAACAAAACTGGAATAAGAACCCCATACCCTTAATGTATGCATGCTTCAAATTTACACTGAAGACAATGTTTTGGATTAAGAAATTATGCAAGACCAGATTTTTAAGCAGAAAATCATATGAATTTAAAAACAAACAACTCCTGACCTCATAGGCAGTTTTTATAAGTTCAAAGATATCGATTTGCACCGGTGGCTCATCTCCACTTGTCAATAAGGCATGGAGATGTGGGATTGGTGGAGAAACACTATGTTGATTAACTACATTGTCCAGGTGCCTACAGGAAAATCAGGAGTGAAAACAGAACATTGGATTAGTCTATAATCTGACAATTAGGGCCAGAAGCATTACCATTGTGAATAGTTTACTTCTTTCTACTTGCCTAATTCCACTGATGATGTATTCTCTTGAGAACAATCAATTTTATAATTAATCTTTTATGAATTGCTTTAACTCCAGCTCCCTCAAATTAGATTTATTTTAATTTATAGATAACATTTGTCACTGGGATGCAAGTACAATACAACTTTTCAGTCAATCAATAAACCAACTGCAAAATATAACATTTGAATGATAACAGTGTTTGAACCTAACAGCAAAGATTCCTAGTAAAACAAACATAATGCAGTGGGACTGAAATTGAAGAACTGGAAGACAAAATACAGTACCCCTAATAGAGGTCACCTCCCAAACTGATCCTATTACATTAGTTTGAGAGCCAGTTTGGTGTGAGAGCTAGTTTGGTGCAGTGGTTAATTGCATGGACTCTAATCTAGGAGAACCGGGTTTGATTCCCCTTGCACCTGCTGGATGACCTTGGGCAAGCCATAGTTCCGACAGGAGCTGTCCTCGAAAGAGCTCTCTCAGTCCCACCTACCTCACAGGGTGTCTGTTGTGGGGAGGGGAAGGGAAAGGAATTTGTAAGCCGCTCTGAGACTCCGAGTGAAGGGTGGGGTATAAATCCAATCTCCTCCTCTTTTTCTTCTACATCGCAGTTCTACTCTTCTACAAGAATATCCTCCTGAACAAATTAGTGAGAGACAACTGTACCCCATCGAAAGTGAGGTGTTCCATGTCATTCAGGGCCTCAGCTTTCCCAATCAACATCACATCTATCTTGTCAGTATTCAGTTTCAGCTTGTTTATCCTTAGCTATTCAACTATAGAAGTCAGGCATTGAGTCAGAGACTCTATAGCAGGAGTGTCAAACATGTGGCCCGGGGGCTGGATCAGGCCCCCAGAGGGCTTTTTTCAGGCCTGCAGTGGAACTGGCTGTCTTCTACTTCTTCTTCCAGTTCTGCTGCTTCTTCCAGTTCTGCTGCGTCATCGTAGGTTTGCAGCTTACAGATACACACCTGAACAGCATACTCAAGATTGCAACAGCACAAACATTTTGATGCAATAATTCAGAGCAAGAAGTGTCAGTTATCAGACACTGTTAAATAAACAAAATATTGCAAGAGTGCTAATGTTTTAAACATGTTTTATTTTAAGTAAAAAAACACCTTTGTGTTTGTGTCCTTTATAAAGTTTATATCTCCGCTAACTGGCATTACATTTTATGACACACATGGCCCGGCCTAACAAGGTCTCACTTATGTCAGATCCAGCCCTCATAACAAATGAGTTCGACACCCCTGCTCTATAGCCTCACCAGGTGATTTGGATATAGAAATGCAGAGTTGGGTGTCATCAGCATATTGATACCACCTCATTTCAAAACCACAAATGAATTCTCCTAAGGGCTTCACGCAGAGATTGAATAGAATGGGGGGCAAGACTGAATGCTGTGGAATCGAAAAGGCAGGTCACACACTGTAGACAATTTTCTGACTCCTGCCATAAGGAATGACTGAAAACAATCTGAAGCACATCCCTTAATCCCTACATCTCCCTCCAAATGTCTGAACAAGATGGCATGGTTCACTGTGTCAAAGGCTGCCAGTAAGTCTCGTAAAAGCAGCAGAGAGGCATACCCTTTGTCTACATTTAAACAGATGACCTCCATCAAGGCCACCAATGACATCTCCATCCCAGCTGTATTAAGGCCAACATCCATATCACAGATTATTTGAGAGATTTTCTCTGCAAAGAACTTTGCAAAGACATCACAGTCAACTGTCAATTCCTGAGAGTTTAAGGGCAGAGACTTTAGAGTCAATAAGTGGCGAGTTACTTTAAACAGCTGAGCTGGGTGCAAACTGGGTGCCGCGACAGGAGCAGAAAAGTAGGATTTCTTTGCTGCAGTCATCACTGCATCATAGGTTTTACTGTGAGTTTTGTAGCATAGCCTGTTGGGAGTCAGTGAGTGTTTTCTGCCAGAGGGGTTCCCTACCCTCTTCAAGCAAATTCGTCCCGTAGTAAACCAAGGTGCTGGATTCCGTCTTGAGGGTTGGGAAGGTCAATAGGGGGTCACTACGTCAATGGTTTCCAGGAGCTTCTTATTCCAGGCATCCACTGTGGTCTCATCAGCTGGGATCTTAAAGTCACTCAAGGCATTTTGGAGGCTGGACAGAATCTTTAGTCTCTGTGGGCAGACCATTTTAACTGACCCCTTGTTCCTCCAGAGTGCTGGTGCCACATTTACCTGTGCCCTGAGGAGATAATGATCAGACCATGGCACAGGGGAGTCTCCAGGCCCCAGAATAGCATTTCTCCCGCCAGTTTAGAGCAAAGAATTAGGTGTATTTGTGTTCTAAAGAAACCACAAATAAGCTATAGTGTAATGAAATTTGAATTGCCTACCTTTGGCAAGACAACAGAAGGCAGGATCCAAAGATGTTTCAGACAAAGGAAGGGACTAGTTCAGTTGATTTCTTTCTCCCACTGCAGACTCTTCCCCCCTCAACTTTCCATGCTGCTCCTGAGAATCTCTTCATTCCCAGAGTAGCCATTTTGGGGAGCTTAGTGAGTTACTGTAGGAGGTGGGAAAGTTCAGTTCTGCTAATGGATCCTGCAATTACAACAGATCTCTCTGCACAGACTTCCTAGGCTGATACACTCCACAAATATACTGAAGAGCTATGTCTTTGGAAGAATTGGGTTTATTATCCTTGTCCCTTCCTACTAAACAACTGATACTGGGGGAGTACAAAACTTCAGTTGCTAGCCAGAATTAGGAAGGAAAATAGCAATAATTACCCAAACCCTTGCGATTCATTTAACTCTGAAGAACAACAAAGATTACCTGCCCAGCACAGTCATAGCCTCGCCTTCATCACAACAGTTTAGCAGCTTTTCCATGTTGGCATCCAAGATGGCCAGAGATACCTGCAAGATGACCTTGATGCCTTCATAGAAGAAACAGTCAACAATGACAACAGCGCTTTCAAAAGGCATGACGCTGAGGAAGAGAGTGAGGAACCAAGAGAGCGATATGCTAGAAATGACACCCAGATCCTGCATCTTCTCAGACAGCTGGGGAAGGCAGTCCCGTGTGAGCTCCTCAAAGATGCCCTGGTCTACCAATGCACCTGAATAGACAATGGAGACAGAGGGATAGCGTCAAAGATGCGACAGTGTAAAATACACCCATATTACAGAGGAGGTGAACACTAGCATAAAAACTGGTTTGTCTTGGGATGAGTTTGCATACGAATGTTACAAGATATTTCCACTGTAAGTTCTTCTTCTTGAGGAAGTGATGTTGAATGACATGAAACACAAACACTCCATCTGCAATATCGAGGCTGCATGACTACGTCACTCACTGAAGTCATCATATGAGGTTGGAATCGTTAAGTGATGGGCAAGCATCTGTGAAATCAAACTTATGCTCTAAGTTTGCTTCCAAAAGAGATTCACACACTCTTTTGCTTCAGTGTTTGACAAATCCCAGTCATCAGATCATCACTATGCCTAGAAATTTCACTGTGGCATCTAGTATTTTCAGCAGTGATTTTATTGTAGCATCTCTCAGCACTGGAAGAACAAAGCTTATTTATCACTTCATATCAAAATGTTTTGATGTATGATATAAAATGTTGTTGCTTGTTTATATGTTAACTTTACACCATGCAAGGGTGGTAGATTAAGTCATTTCTTAATCAGCTGCTTTCTATACTGGCTCCAACATTCAATTAAGTGGGGCTTTTAAAATCGACTATGGGATTATGAGAAATTGGTAAGAAAAAAGACTAGGTTAGAGTTTAAGTTTTTGTTGTGGTGATGACAACCATGGTTATGCCTATACCTATTTATATACTACAACACTTTTGTCATAGCTTTAACCAAATTATGAAAAACTGTGATGAGATTTTGTGGTAGCAATGATAAGAAAATGCAGTCACTAAAATATGAACCCTGAACCCTGAAAAATCTGGCTCCTACATTTTTGGGCTGGCTTCTATAGCCAGAGAAAAGTTAAGGTTTCTAAAAAACAATGATTGCCTACTTCCTTTATTTAAATCACTGGTTTTACATTTACCTGAGAGCAAAACAATAATCTTCTGTAGTCCAGAAGTGTATTTGCTGACAACAATAATTCCATAAATAATTGACACAAAGACTTACTACTAAGGGGATTCTGTATACAGTTTAGTAATATTTGACTACAGCCTTATATTCATCACATGGCCTTGGAAAGGACTCATTTGGTTTCTTCCAATTCTATAATATAAATATTTGAAGGAAATTCTTACAAAAAATTGTGGTGATTTTCTGAGCCCTAAACTTTCACATTTATACTTCCTGTTCTAAGTACAGTCTTAGCTGTTCAACGGTTCATGAATAAATAATTTCCCTCTCTCTTCCAAAGCTTTGCATTAAGTAATCCTAGCTTCCAAAGATAAATGGATGAAACCTTACCAACCACTCTGGTGTTGTAGTAATCTGGTAGCATCCTCTCACACAAGGCCACAAGAAGCCAGAAAGCTTCTTCCTCATTACAGTACAGAAGTAATACTGATGTCACAATGTTCATGGCCTGCCAGCAGGAAGTCAGACATAAGACATACAACACATGCAGAAAGAAAGGAATCCATAGCAGATCAGGAGCACATTTAAGACAACCATCATTCACTATAATTTAGCCTGTTACAGACTCATCAATCAAATAATAAAAGAAACTGAAGCAAATATTTTAGTCAGAGCAACATCCTTCACTTCACAGTTAGTACTGTGGTTGTATTATAAAATGCCTATGACATTTTGCAGGTAGGGTGAAATCAGAAGGGGGGGGCACTCTTGCAATTTCCTCATTCCTACTCCACTTAATTCCACTCATTCCTACCTTACTTCCTCCCTCTCTCCCAAAGCTTCCAAGAATGTTGTTAAGAGAAAAAAGTAGTTGAGCATCTTATCAGGATACGACGTTTCTCACCTGTGCTTATTGGGAGTCCCAATGCAGGTATCTTCCCTGCCCATCTAGGCCTCGGGGAAAGGGACAGGGTGAGACACAAGGCATCTCTCTGCCAAGCAAAGCTGTCTACCCAGGGAACTTCTCTGCTAAACCAGTAACCAGAAGGTGCTGGGGGAATTCTGCTTGGCCCTCTGGCATTCCATCTTATCTCCCATGGGAGAGGTCATCTGGGGACTGGTGAGGTACCACCAATATGCAGATGACACCCAGCTCTATTTCTCCTTAACAACTAAGCCAGGTGGGTCTGTGGAAGTCCTGAGCAGGTGCTTGGAGAAGGGGATGGGATGAAGGCCAGTGAAAAATCTACACTAGCCATCCATTTGTCCCTGGGCCCAATTCAAAGTGCTGGTTCTCAGCTTTAGGGTCCTAAATGGCTTGGAGCCAGGGCACCTGAAGGACTGTCTCCTACTACTACCCAGCCTGCCAGTTGAGATATGCCTCCCAAGCCCTGCTCTCTGTTTCTCCTACCTTCTGAGGTGAGGCGGGTGGCAACTAGAGAGAGGACATTTTATGTGGTGGAGTCTCAGCTTTGGAATGCCCACTCTCGTAACAAGCTTGCCTGGTGTCTACTGTCTTTTCCCTTGGGTGCCAGGCTAAAACACATCTTTTTACCCAGGCTTTTAAATTAGGGGTTTATTTTGTAGCCTTTTAATGGTCTGCTGCTTTATGGATAACTTGTATGCAAATTATGTTTAATCGCTAGTGTTTTACACTGTGCTTTTTAACTGTAAGCTGCCTTGAGCAGGACTCTGAAGAGGTGGCACAAAACTATTATAAATAAATAAATAGATAATCAGTCATTCCTAAAGCCAGATCCTCTCAGCTTCTCTTTCGCCATCACATACTAGTGTGACCCTGTTAACAGCTTCACAGATGGAGGCACATGCTAGGTAGATGCCAACAGATGAACATGCTCAATATACAAAGAAACAATTCGGTTAGACTGTAGTAACTGAAGAGGCAGAAAACATGACTTGTGTCCTCCAGCCTAGCCAAACAATTTTAAGGTAATAAAGATGACCAGGGACCAGCTGAGGAAAAGATGTTTAAGGGACAGGGGATGGGTTAGATCCAGGCTAAATTGGCAACTTCTACCAATTCTCCCTCACTGCTCCAGACTGCCTCTCATGTCATTCCTTGGGGTCCCCTATCCCCCAGGAGTGGCATTTTAAGGAAATCATAGAGCTGCAATGGGGAGGGGAGAGGCAGGGAAGTTCCATTGTACCACTGGAAAATTTAGTCTGGATCATTCCAACCCAATGTGTAGGTATTAACATATCTAAATAGTTAAGGACTGTTAACAGGACTACTCAGTGATGACTGCTCAATTGGGACTCCTAATGCCACCACAACAGTACACAGTTTGATTGTTCTTTCTTACCTGGCAATACCCAATGGTGGGATTCCGAAAAGCATATGCTGTGAGGACCCTTCGAAGAGCAGCAATTCCCAGTTCATTCTGGAAGGCAGGATGCTCTGGCATGGAACGATGCAGGTCTCTTTCAATTTCCTCTGTAGCAAGATTGTACTTTCCCACTGACTGTTCCACCAAGTCTGCATAGTACCCAGGATGAGTGACCATCTCATTCCAGGCCCCTGCAGAAACACACACACAAAATTTACCATTCTTATCTATGACATTCAGGATGTATTTAAGGCTTGTCCTTTACATGCTGGATGCTTTTCAGTTTCAGTGCTTTGCAGCAGTACTGGAGCCAGGCCAAAACGAAGGGTATCATTTAGCAACAAGCATTATATATATATTTAGATGTCACATTTTAACTCATGCCATTTATCCAGTACTCCATGAATTGGCAAGATTTCCTTCATTTTTGCAGGGGAGGAAGACTGAACACACATCATAGTTGCTTTAGGGCTAAGAAATCTAACCATGGAAGGACATACACTAGATGGTACGTGAGGTCACTTCCAGTTTTAGGAGCCCTTCCATCTGAATGGTGGAATTGCCCTGCAGATGAATTAACTTTTCTGTCTACTGTCCAGTGTTGCCTCAGTACAGAACCATGTTGGTCACCCTTAGAGATGATCTCTCTGGTCCTCCTGGATCTCTCAATGGCCTTCAGTACTACTGAACATGGTATTCTTTCGAATAATTCAGTCCAGATTCTTGCGGAAAATTCTTGGGACTTCCCTCTTGTGTTCCTTATGCAGCTTTATGCTTAGAAACTAATCAAAGGCTTCTATCGACCAGAGCATGGCTGATAACAA